AATGGTCAGCTGCTGTCACACTCGGGCTGATTGTTATCCATGGGGCACAAAAGCATTTCTAAACCTTGACTTTCTGCTTTAGGAGTCAGAAATACAGATCTATATGGAGTCTCCCCATTTAGAAATATTGGTAAATAGTTGAAAACAAAATAAGAGACAAGAGTCACAGTTCCTCGGCCGACAGAACATGGTTCGAGGCGCAGCGGAGTGGCCTGGCAGCTTGCAAACTCTGCCCTGAGACGTGCACTTGAGCAAGTGGGCAAAGGAGCGTTACTGGGGACAGGGCACTGCCTCCACACTGCAGGGCCAGAGACTCTGCACGGAAGCCTTCTGCCGAGGCTGTAGTGGACAGCACATAGCGAGTTCTCAAACAGGGCACCTTTATTCTGATCACTCCGTATCACTGCATCATCAACGTCACAGCTCTGCGGCGTGGCTGCCGTTCTCCCCAACGCCCCCTCCCCCCACCCCCAAGAACTTGCTGACCACCCAGCGCCCAGCCGGCTCTCGTCCCCTTTGTAGGAACCTCTGCGGACAGTTAGAGAGGTAGAGTGTGTCCCAGTTAAAGACATGAAAACCTCACATAAGCATATACAGACAGGCTTACATATGCACAGACCCTCTCTGGAGGGACCTGAACAGACCCAGGGAACAGTGATGGTCTCTGGGGTCCTTACGGGGCACAGCGGGAAACCTCCTCTTAGACCCACTGGTGCCCTTGGGGGGTCTTCCCACGCGCAGGCACTGTTGCTTTAAATAAACAAGAGAAACAAATAGCTGATCAATCCGTCTCATCACCAAAGAGGGGCCTCTGTGACAGCTGAGCTCCTCTGGGAGGATCTGCCTTGAGGCGGATGAGAGGGGTTCAGAGAGAGCGTCTCCCTGCATTTGCTGTTCTTCCAAATAATGTACAAAGCAGCCTCTTTTGTGGTGGCACGTCCTCAACTCCTACAGCCATAGTTGGGGCGGCATTTTTGCACCCCTCACCCTCATTTACAAAATGTTAAGCTGCAGACACAGGTTAACTACAGACAAACCTCCGTCTGTCTCCGCCTTGGGGACACTGCCCCTCGGGGCAGTGAGAGGCTTCTGAGGACGCCGGGTGCTGTGTCCTCCTCGTTCCCCCACCCACCTCTCCTGCTGTCTCTGCCGTGTCACCCTCACACAGCCTCGGCTGGTCCTGCCTGGGCGCCCAGACAGGGATGTGCGGGAACCTCAGGCTGCTTCCCATCTTGAAAATTCTAGAGCCCAACTCGTGTAACTTAACAACCTTGTCTCTTATGAAAAAAGGTCTAGAAGGTAGCTAAAGAGATGGTTCTGAATAATCTAAAGTAATCACAAGATGATGACCCTCGGGGGCAAGTACTGCCAGTTCTCGTGTCCTTAGGAAATGGGTGAGGCCAGCAAGTGGCACCTGCGCGCCCCACCTGTCATCTGAAATGGTCAGCTGCTGTCACACTCGGGCTGATTGTTATCCGTGGGGCACAAAAGCATTTCTAAACCTTGACTTTCTGCTTTAGGAGTCAGAAATACAGATCTATATGGAGTCTCCCCATTTAGAAATATTGGTAAATAGTTGAAAACAAAATAAGAGACAAGAGTCACAGTTCCTCGGCCGACAGAACATGGTTCGAGGCGCAGCGGAGTGGCCTGGCAGCTTGCAAACTCTGCCCTGAGACGTGCACTTGAGCAAGTGGGCAAAGGAGGGCTAGAACTAAGGGCTTGTGTTGAGACGTCAAGTTGACTCGATTTGGGGCTAACTTGGAATGAAGTGTGGACCCCGGAGCACTGACCAATTTGAACTTGTTCTATTAATAGGGAAGTAGAGTAACAAAGAGTGAGGGGGACGGGAAAATACAGGTTTTGAATTCAGAGGCTTGGGTTCAAACCTTGCTTGCATACTTAATAGTTCCCTACTTAACAGTAAGATGCTTCACCTCTCTGAGTCTTGGTTTCCCCATCCATAAAAGTCAGGATAGACCTTACATAACAGGGTTGTGAGAATTAAATGAAGTTGTGTCTAAGGAAATGTCTGCCATCTGGTAGGCAACTAGTTCCCTTATTCTTACTTTCAAAGGTTTGTGAGTGAGGATACTTGAGGAAAGCAACATTTCAGGAAGGATGGCCAAATGGCAGCTGGGAGACTGGAGTCAGAAAGACTGGCTAGGTCTCCGGCAGCGTTACTACTTTGAGAGGATGGATCATGGTTACTGCACCGCCTTGGAGCTGTCTGTCCCCAGAGGCCAGACCATAAACGCTGACCTCCTGGCTTCACGGGTAAGGTGATGGACAGGGTGCAACGCACAGCGCCAAAGCAAGCTTGGCTGTGCCGGCTTTCCTGTCTGCTCCCCACCCCTTCAGCAGCCTTCGCGCAGCCAAGGGAGGCAGGGCCGGGCCTCCCGCCAGTGCTAATCCAGACACAATTTCCAAGCCTGAATCTTGGTGCCAGTCTCAGGCACAAGCCGGGCCCTGACCTTTGCTGGGTCTCTACAGACGTCTTTTCTCTATCTTGAGCCACTGATGACCTTGCTGCAGAGTTCCTGGTAAAATTCTGTTGTTTTTTTGTTCAGACATGTCCAACTCTTTGCAACCCCATGGACTGTAGCAAACTCATCTTTGGAAGATGGCTTAAAGCTTTTGAAAGCTTGGGAGCTTAAATTACATGCAGACATTTCTAAGCCAAAAAGGCCAAATGCAGTCCTTGCAAGGGACTAATGACAGAATTAGCAAGAAAGGTAAATAGTTTTGCTCCTTAGGAAAAAGAGACACATTTTACCCACTATGTGGATGCTATGTGTACCCACTAATATAATTAAACTGTCATTAATAGTCAGCACTGCCAACTTTCCAAAAAGGTTTCCTAAAGTGGAAACAATTTTTAGGGTGCATCAGAACTGTATGAAAGGCTTGCTCGCCCTCACCCCCCACCCCCAATAAGTCTCTGAATCAGTAGATCGGGGGTCAGGGCTGTGTTTCTAACAACTCCAGGAGATGCTGATGCTTCCCACTGGTGGCTGGGTGGTTATGCTTTCAGAAGTATCGCTGTAATGAATCTGCTGGCATATATTCAGTCCACACTACTAGTGAGTGTTACAAAATGCACAGGAACCCCTACATCCCCAGTTGAGTGAACAGAAGCCAAGGTTGAATGACAGATATAAAACAATGCTAGAAAATCTTGATCTAGGAGCCACAAACTTCACTATAAGCCAAGGGTTATACAGTCACGACTGGGCAGACATGGCGGTTTGGCAATACCAATGAAGTACTTAGGCTAGTAACTGGAACGCTGCTGGGGCCAGCAGTCTCTAGTTGCAATGGGAGATGCCGCCATGTCAAAGACTTAGACCACAAACATGAACATGGGGTTCTTCATATCATCCTGACTCCAAGGCTTGGATGGTTTCTAAAGGCTGGTATTTGTTGATGTCTTACAGAGGTTAGTTCTGTGCTTCATGAGGCTTTTGCAAATATTAGTGGTTTTTCCAACTACAGAGAAAGAAGACTTGAGGTCTGAGATAGCTAGTTTCTCGTTTAGGAGCTTGCTGGAGCAAGGGTGCTTACCAGTGAGATAGTTTTGGTGGCCTCATCTTCGTCAGGGAGGAATTTCACTTTTTCTCAGAACACAGATCATTTTTCTAGGCTCTGCATGTCTTAATATTCAACATAACTCCACTGAGAATGCAAAAAGGTTTAGCAGGTGACCAGTTGAGGCAGGAGGTGGCTTTGGACGTCCCATGATGGCAGGCTGCCCACTTAACTACATTTACTCAGGGAATATGGGGACTACTTCCCTTTCAATTTGGTTCGGCTAAGAGTCAAAGTCAGCCTTCTGTCCCAACAGTAGTGTGTCTAGTTACTTCTGTAATCTGATGATCTCATTTGAAAAAATTCTCTCTAGTCTATGGTGACTCTTAGTGGATAGAACAATGATTAAAAAAAAATCTCCTTGGTATCTTGGCATATTTAACATTCTGTGAAAATCAGGGTATTTCTCATTAACTGGTACATCCTTCTATAACTGAAAAAAAAAAAAAAAAGAACTGAGATGGACCAAAACTGTCTGCCAAAAAGATGCACAACATAGTCACCTGCAAGCTGGGGACAGAAGGAAGATGCTTCTCTGGGTTGCTCCATACTGCCATCAATGGGTTGAGGTCAGTGGTGGACGGGCAGAATGTTGGCACAGTTGAGAGGGGCTGTTGAGACCTCCCTTCTGGAGCACAGGCCTCCCTGGGAAGGAGGCTCATGGTCCTGAACAGGGGGTCCATGAGCCGCTTCCTTGCAGAGCACAGGCCTGGTAGTCCCTCCGTACCTACCTCTTAGTGAAGAGGACTGACTAGAGGGGCCCTTCTCTGGGCACCGAGGACCTGCTGCTTGACTCCCAAACTGAAAATGGCGGCAACCTGCTTTACCTGGAAGCAGAACACACTTCAGAAGTAACTGCCACCTGCCCTGAACATGTGGTCAGCTTGGTTTAAAATAAGGGCATATGCTGCCCAAACATCTTGCTAAACACAGAAGTGCAGTCCTAACTTGTGGTTATTGATGGTAAAGGTGGAACAGGTTAAAATCTGAGTAACAATATCCAGCAGAAGGCTCAACTAAGAACCAAAGACTCTTACTGTGAAGTGAACTCCGGTATCATCTAAAGCTTGGGATGCAAAATGGCAAGGGTCAGCAGTGACAGCATCACTTGGAACTTGTCGGAAACTTTTGGGTCTTTCTGAACTTCCAAATCAGGCTGCATGTTGTTTAAAATCCCCTGGTGACACTTCTGCAAGTTTGGGAAAGAGCACACTGCCCTCAGCTAAAGAGGAGGAGAGGCAACGGTCCGGGGAAGAGAGGACCACTTCCAGGTACACCCACCAGCTGCAGGACGACGGCAGTTCCAAGGTATGTCTACAGCCCTTCACTGCCGCTAAGTCATGTGTTTGCACAGGAATGGTACAGAGGAGAAAGGTTATGCTCCACACCTGGGGTCTAAGAATTAGTTGAAGTTTCAGAGTATCAAATGATTTAATTACAAAACTCAAGTCCCTTTATTCACTTTCTAAACACAAACATGAGAATAAAATAAACACACCCAACTCACTAGCCCTTGCAGGACAGGAAGGAGCCCTAGACGGACAGCCTGCCAATGTTTCTCCTTGCACTTAAGTCTGCATCTCCTCAGGCATTCCAGGGTCCTACTCTTGACACCTCTTGCAGGGGAAAGGAAGTGGTAGCTAAAAAAGTCACCTACAACGGGGTCACAGTGACCTTACAGCTGTTTGATGCTACTGGCCTGTAAACTCTGATTTGCAACTCTCAGAAACTGATAGTATCAAATAAGCATTGTTAAAACTCTACCACACCTGGCTAACTTTTACTTTCTTTGAAACTGCATCTTTAGGACTGGTTATGTTCCTTCACTGTAGCTTCTGTTTATCATCAAGCACAAACCCTAAAATCCATACACAGTCTCTAAGTTCAAGTACAAAGGTTCGCTTCAGGACAAACCCCAAAGTGATGTAGTGTTTCTTAGTATGTCTGTAGTGTCTACGGTGTGTCACCCTCTTGGACAGGCTAGCTGGACGGCAGCATAATGTGGGGGCCCACATGGTCAACTTTTCTATAGCCCCACTTGCTCCCTATTCCCTCTGGACACCGCCCCACAGTCAGCATTGAATTCTGAAGTCAGTGAGGACTTCGGCCTGTCTTCATTCTGAAGTTGTGCTCTTATGTAACTGAATCCAGGTCTTCACCGTTAATTCAATGGAGCTTCCAAAACATGTCAGGCATATTCTAAAAAGAAAGATAATCAAATCAAAATGTTAGTTTTGTGTTATGTTTAATTTTATGTTTCCAAAGGAATTAAGTTAGAAAGAAAGACTTGAAGCGAATATTTTATACTCCATAATGGAATTGAGGTTTTCTCCTAATGTAGGCACAAAGGGACAATTTGTCTCATGAGTTCCCCATGCGAGCCTGATGTTCTTGCTTTGTCCACTCACTGATGCTTATTTTACTAATCAAAAATAACAGACATCTTAAAGACTCTGTCAAAGAGAACACCAGTGTAGAATGAGAGGGTAAGGCACACCGTGATGGTTACCCGAGGTGGCTAAGAGTCCACCACGGCTTACTTGATGATAACTGCGTATGTTTATTAATGTCTCCCAAACCTTGCAAACAGCACTGTTTTGTGAATCTAGAGCTGATTTTTAAAATTAAATTTCAAATGTGAAAAAAAAAAGGGTGCTCATAGCAGAAGAATCCCATGGTAACGGACAGTGGTAAACTGAAATCCTTAATAAATACTATAAGGAAACCTAAGAGGGCTTAAAGTGGATTCTGAGCGCCATTTGGGAGGCACTTTAGAAATCACTGCTTGGTTTTATATTCAAATTGTAAGGCCCAGTTAACTCATGTCTAGGGGAGAGACTCACCTAGGCAATTTCAGAACAAGACTTAAATGTAAATTTGGCGGGTGCATACCCAGCATCCCAGCTGGTTTCTAATGAAGCATCTATTCATGGCGTAAATGTTCAGGTCTGCTGGCACAGAAAATCATACTCACTGACATAGGAAAAGGCTGCTAATTAGTTCTCAGTAAAAAATGACTCACAACAAAATGAAATCCATTTGCAGTGAACAGTTTTCTGAATTGATAAGAAACATGAACCTCGGTAATGGCTTATCCCTTTTCTATCCATTTCCTATATTGATAAGCCAGAGGTGAATGCTCCTGGACAGAAGGCGGGACACTGACTTTAGGAAGCGTCCTGCGATGGAGCAGCAGGGTCCTGGCTTTCAGGTTCTGGAGGTGGTGCTGGCACGGCTTCTTTTTTCTGGGCTGCCAGGAACTCATGAATTGCTCGTTCTATCTGTGGTCTGAAGATGTGGTTCAGTTTAGAGAATAACAACAGATGAATGATTGAATGTGGGCCTTTAGGTAAGGACTTCCACTATTCCTTCCTCTTTTCCAGTAAGAGGTGTAGGTTCCTTAAGATATGGGACTTTGAGAATGGATTCTGGAATACTCTATAAAATAAGTCTCTTAGTCGTGTCAGACTCTTTGTGACCCCATGGACTACACAGTCTATGGAATTCTCCAGGCCAGAATACTGGAGTAGGTAGTCTTTCCCTTTTCCAAGGGATCTTCCCAACCCAGGGATCGAATCCAGGTCTCCTGCAGTGCAGGTGGATTCTTTACCAGCTGAGCCACAAGGGAAGCCCGAGAATACTGGAGTGGGTATCCTATCCCTTCTCTAGAAGATTTTTCCCAGCCCAGGAATTGAACCGGGTCTCCTGAACTGCAGGTGGATTCTTTACCAACTGAGCTATCAGGAAAGCAAGAATACTCTATAGAGTATTATAAGTAAGTAAGTGGTAAATCACTAGATTATGTCTACTCAGAGAACTTTGAGAGCCCTAGTAAACTGATATGAAGCCTTGAGATACACTACAGAAAAAAAAAAATTCTTTTTCTGGGAAAAGAAAATAGACACAATATAAAGAATGGACAAAACAAACATCCCAAAGTCTATTTTTTTCATGTAGGATCCTAAACTTAGTTTTGTGTAATCAAATAAGAAAAGTATACCACTATTAATATATTATTAAAAGTAATATACCAAAAAAATTGAAAGAAGCATGTCTTAAGATATGGGGAATTTAAACTTCAAATTAAAGTTTTCTAATAGAGGAAGAATTAGTATTGTTAAAATGACTATACTACCCAAAGCAATCTACAGATTTTTTATTTTTATTTATTTTTTTTTAATTACAAAACTCAAGTCCCTTTATTCACTTTCTAAACACAAACATGAGAATAAAATAAACACACCCAACTCACTAGCCCATGCAGGACAGGAAGAAGCCCTAGACGGAGAGCCTGCCAATGTTTCTCATTGCACTTAAGTCTGCATCTCCTCAGGCATTCCAGGGTCCTGCTCTTGACACCTCTTGCAGGGGAAAGGAAGTGGAAGCTAAAGAGTCACTTATAAGGGGGTCACAGTGACCTTATAGCTGTTTGATGCTACTGGCTTGTAAACTCTGATTTGCAACTCTCAGAAACTGATAGTATCAAATAAGCATTGTTAAAACCCTACCACCCCTGGCTAACTTTTACTGTCAATTCTTTGAAACTGCATCTTTAGGACTGGTTATGTCCCTTCGCTGTAGCTTCTGATTATCTTCAAGCACAAACCCTAAAATCCATACACAGTCTCTAAGTTCAAGTACAAAGGTTCGCTTCAGGACAAACCCCAAAGTGATGTAGTGTTTCTTAGTATGTCTGTAGTGTCTGCGGGGCGTCACCCTCTTGGACAGGTTAGCTGGACGGCAGCACAATGTGGGGGCTCACATGGTCAACTTTTCCATAGCCCCACTTGCTCCCTATTCCCTCTGGACACCGCCCCACGGTCAGCATTGAATTCTGAAGTCAGTGAGGACTTCGGCCTGTCTTCATTCTGAAGTTGTGCTCTTATGTAACCGAATCCAGGTCTTCACCATTAATTCAATGGAGCTTCCAAAACATGTCAGGCATATTTTTAGGAAGCGTCCTGGGATGGAGCAGCAGGGTCCTGGCTTTCAGGCTCTGGAGGTGGTGCTGGCACGGCTTCTTTTTTCTGGGCTGCCAGGAACTCATGAATTGCTCGTTCTATCTGTGGTCTGAAGATGTGGTTAAGTTTGGGATCCACCACCTGGGAAATAATTCTGTCCACTCCAGCTTCCAACATCCCTGACTGAACCACACTCTGCCTCAGACCATTTCGCAATTGGTTTTTGTTCATCGTGGGATTCCATTCCTGCTTGTCCAGATGTGTTGACACAAAATTATCCACTTTTTGCCTCAGGTTTTGGTAAGCTGGCTTGGTGTCCACGTCGGCCAGGCAGTCCCTGCGGAAGCTGTCAAAGAGACCCCGGCTCTTGAGTTGCTCCGCGGTGAGCGCGATGAGCTGTGGGTCGCCGGGGGGCAGTGAGGCCGGGTTGATGGGGCCGCCGCTCCCGCCAGCCGCCGCCCCCGCCGAGGCCGGTCCGAGCCGCCACCACCCACCGCACTGGTGCCCCCGCTGCACCAACCGTCAGCCATGGCTGTGCACCGGGCCCGCGAAGGGGCCCGAGTAAGGCTTCCTCTCAGGAACAGAGGGCCTAGGTCGTGGAGAGGTGNGCATCAGCAACTCAACAAAGCCTTCCAGCTGTGCTACATACAAAGTAACCTGGGAGCAAACAAGTAAACAGACAAGAAACAGACTGTTTCTAAGCTTCTAAGGGGCTAAAATACAGCCCCAGTCCTTTCCGAAAAAGAACAAAAATTAGTCAAAATGTCTATACTCAAACATTAGGAGTGGGTAGCCAGGAAGATTATGGTCATAGGAAACAAATCACGTTTGGAACATAGTCCACGTAGGGTCACACTGAACTGTTCTCCTCAAAGGATGAAAATATTCAGAGGCCATTTACAGGTGTGGTGGACATGTTTTACTTACTTTCCTTTAGACTTGAGTTCTTGGGCCATTCAAGCTTTTGCTTGGGTATAAATAGGTCCTGAGGTAACGGGGCAAATGGTGTGTCAGGGCACAGCCCAGGAGACAACCGAGCAAACACACGCAGTGATGAGTGAGATGAGAAGCAGGCCCTGAACTGGTTAGGCTGAGCAGTGAACACGGTGCTCCCTAAAGCCAGTGGGGACTGACAGCTTATCAGCAGGAAGCCAAGATGTAAGCGGACCTCCGGGAGAGCACAGAGGCGCTCACGAGCAGACCCCAACAGACAGTGTGTGCCCGCGGAACACTGAGGTCAGCAGCAGCCTGTGCGTCAGCGGGGAAGCAAAGCCACCTCTCCCGAGTCACAAGCCAAGGGCTACCGCCCTCCATCACCCCGCTACCTGGGTCAGGTTCCCAGGTGTCTTTACTGGAGGTGAAACTCTGACCAAGGAAAACAAAGTCTCAAGAGTACAGCTTCCTTTCCTGGAGATTTAAAAAGTGCGAGGAGGAAGTAAGAAATATTGTCAGGTGCCTAAAACAGAAGATGACATGAACAACTATCACGTAGTTTCCTCCGTGCTGCAGACAGGGACACAGCGTCTGGGCCTGAGCCGCAGGGCTGGCCAGCCGATGCTGAGGGCTGCGGCGTCGCAGTGGCAGGGTGAAGGAGCGACTCTTCACTGTAAAACGTCATTAGAATTGCCTCAAATTCAAAATGTTCGCAGGAATCACGGACAAAAGTCTCATGACATCCAAATACATGTTTTCAGGTTAAATGCATTCTAGATCAAATCGAAAAGCAGGGAATAATTACATAGGTGGTAAAACTATGAAAAAAAAGCAAGAAATAAGAACCATCCAAGTGAGGAGTATGGTCAACTTGAGAGGACGGGTACTGGGAAAGGTGGGAGGCAGGGCTGGGAGAGCTAGGGCGTGGGGTGTGGGCGTGCTGGTAATGTTCTATTTCTCAACCTGGGTGGGACTACAGGGATGTTCTAATTACTTGTTATGCTGCATTTCTGTTGTAAGCACTTTTCTTTTCTGTGTTACATTTCATATGAAAGATATATGAAGAAAAGTGCCACATGCATACCTCAAGGATGCTATCAACAAGCATTAAAAATGTTGTAATGTTGACAGTCATGCCATTATTGGCACCTTTTCAAATATTTAAAATATTTTGTGCTTTGTTAATATGGGTGCCAATCTTTTAGAAGGAAGGGTTAAAAAAGTTTCATCTGATTTGTTACTTAAGCTGTCCAATAGTTTTTTTTTTAAAAGACTGGCAATAACTTATCTGCAGAGTACATCATGAGAAACGCTGGGCTGGATGAAGATTGCCAGGAGAAATATCAATAACCTCAGATATGTAGATGACACATTTATGGCAGAAAGCGAAGAACTAAAGAGACTCTTGATGAAAGTGAAAGAGGAAAGTGAAAAAGTTGGCTTAAAGCTCAACATTCAGAAAATTTCAAACTCAGCACCCAACTTAATGTGTACTCTAGCTGACACTGCTGGTTATAAAAAATAAGGCATCACCCATGTCCTTGGAACCGTGAAAGAACATGCTTTCTCTTGAAGATCTAAGCAGCATAATTTATTAACATTCCCTCATTGAACAGACATTTGTTCCATTACTATCTCATGGAACAGACTGTCTCCAACCCTCAAAAAAACTGAGTGGACTTTCTTCCTGCCTTTAAGGATTTCACAGTTTATTAAAAACAGTCATTGTGAGAGGAATATATGCCACATACACATAATTATTGACAGTTATCATATGTCAGGCCCTCTGCAAAGTCCTTTGCTTACATTACCTCATTTAGTCTTCTTAAGGATCCTTCATACTATTTCTGTTTTACAGATCGGATTAAGAGCCTAATGTCACATAGTTAATAAAGCTCAGAGTTGCAATTTGTCTTAATTCCTCTGTCCACAAATCCCAGGATTAAAAACACTTTATAAACTACTCTAGTATAAATGACAACTTTTACATTTTCTTATATTGAGTAAGAACTGATTAGAAGATAAATAGGCAATGAGAAGGACACACCACAGGCCTGACTTATTAATGATATACACAGGGAGGCCACAAACTTTGAGCAAGAGAAGCTGGATGCTCAAGGAGCCCTGAGACCAGGAAATGCCAAACACACCACAGAGCTCCCCCTTAGTTCTATGTACTTCCCAAAGTTCCTGTGGATTTGGTGTCTGTAGACAACTGCTTCCATGGATTCTTGGAAGGTACGGGAGGTATTTTATAAACCTGTGTTTCCCCAATTCACAATGCTCAACAAATGTTTGTTGAATAAAGAACGAAAGTGATAGGGCCCACATGGGGTCTCATTGATAAGATGGCTCATTATGTTGACCTCACAAACAAAGAATAAAATCACTGTGATCCGTGAGACTGACCAAATTGCCCAAATGGTATTCTGTTTTCTCACTGGCACCTATCTTCTCAAAGCTGCAAGACCACCAGATTCCAGACCTCTGGCTACGTGACCACAGGACTCAACTACAGGCTAAAAATTAAGGACTCAACTACTGGCTAAAAATTAACCTTCCCTTCAGAGAATTTTTCAGCGGTGGGGTATAAGAAGGACCCTGTCAGAAAGGAAGGATACTGGTTCTCCTTAAGAGCCAGTCACTCTCTCTTTTCCCTCTAATAAATTTCCCTTTTCTTGCTTGACTGCCCGGCTCACTCTCTTTTTCTCTGCACTCGCCTTACAGAAAGAATATAAAATATCTTTAACTATATCTTAGGAAACAGAAAAGACTAGAAATTACTGTAAAGATTCTGAGTGTCTGAAAGGCATGGGTTAATTTGCTCCTGTTTTAAAATCTCCATGTGTTTAACACAGATCTTAGAACCTTTAGAACAGAATTTCTACACAGGAACTACTAAAATATAAATATGCCAAGGTTTAGGTAACTATTTTTCTTTAATATTAAAAGAAAACACACACATCTGTCATTAAATATTTCCCCTAACACACCCCACATACCCAGAGCAATAAAAATTGTGCTGAGCAGTTAACGGAAAGCAAATCTGACTGTTTTTTCTCATGAGAAAACTTTCTCAGAGCTTCTCAGAAGTCCTAGACCCATACTTGACAGAAACTCTCAAGAGATCTAGACTGAGAATCATTCAGTGATTCTTTTAAACCAATCTCCAGTTTGAATGGAAATCAGGTTATGATAGCATTTTGGAATTTATCCTGTTTCAAGTGCTCTAATCACATAACTGATGGAAAAAAAATAACTTCATTTGCTGTCAGCCCTGCTGATTCATATTCTCAGATATAGAAAATGCTGCCTCTGGACAAAGGCAGGTGCACAACTCATATATTAGATCAATCAGAAAAAGCAGCAACACTATAAATAGGGGTCTTACAAGTGGTACTATGTGACACTTTCTGACCAACATATCCTTTTCCAGAATCTACAAATAATCTCCGTCTCCCTCTACCTTAACAAAAATCTATCCAGCTCAAGAGTCACTTCATCAAGAAGCCTGCTTTGAAAAATTTAGTCCAACGATGTTCCCATCTGCTTCTCACTATCATATTTCATTTTGTACAAAATTACAAATTTTCAAATGAAAATGGCACGGAGGGAGTGGTATAATCATCTGTTTAAAAATCTTCTCCAGTAAATATGACATACGTGTTCTCCCACTGAGAACTGCTATAGGAGAAGAATCATATTTTCCTTAAGTCTTTAAGAAATAAATGTCAGAGAACCAAACTTTAATTACCTAAAATTGCAAGACGTTTAAAATATTAGACTTTTTAATTAGTGGAAAGATATTTGTAAACAAATTTACATTTTCTAAAATTTTAACACTGAAAGCAATTTACACTTTTCTTAACACCCTGGGACATGGTTATATATATCATTATCACATGATATGCTACAATAATGATTTTAGACATAACTGAGGTCTATTGGATGTTGTTTTGAAATGCTTTGCTATAGAGGGATTTATTGTAGATTTTATGATTTTTAAAAATCTCCTCTCTTGTTCTTCTGTCAATTGTTCACATAATTCTCCAGAGTAGATAACTAGCATATAGCATACAGTATATAACTAGCGTATAGTATATAACTAGCACATAGTGATGCCTGGGAAGATCTTAGGAAAAGCATGAACCAAGAATTTTATACCCAGTTAAACAATCATTTGCATATAAAAGCCACAGGAAAACACTTTTGAACATATAAGTACTCAGAGAATATTGTTCCAAGAAAGTTTTCTTGAAGTAGTTTGAAATTTCTTGAAAATTAGAGGCTTAGTTTCATCTGCAAAAGAGGAAAATGGAGTAAGACAGCAAATTAGAGAGGCTACTGGAGCCATCTGATTCTAGGATAAAGAAAAAAATGCAACCCTGTGGCCATTATGGTAAAAGAAATATGAAACATAGAAATAATATAACTACCAAAATTTAAATGAGAAAGAAGCAGATGGTAGTGGATGTATGCTGACATTCTCTCTTTTTTAGCACTGGAGATTCAAAAGGTATCATATATATGTGATAAATCAAATAGAGCTATTCAAAGATATAATTTAAATTTCAGGACTAGTTAAAAATGTAATCAC